ATCCATGACCTCTTGCATACCAGGCAAGGGAAACATCTTGACATCGTGGCGCTAATTTAGAGTGGACCGTGTGTGCATGCGTCATGGTCCACGTTTTGCCATATTTCAGAGACCTCAGATTACTTAATCAGGAGTGAGAATGAAGCAAGTGTTTAGACAAGTACCCTGAGCGGCCCCCCTAGTGTTAGGTAGGGTTAAGCGATCGACATGAAAATAGTTTCGTCAAATTAACTTACGTCATATTAAACAATTTGCACAAATTGTGAGAAAGTAAAATATGTTATGTATATTAAAACAAAAATTATCCACGAAATTGCATTGAAATATTCGTCTAAGATGCACAATACATTGTTAAAAACTGACCAAGTGTTTAACAGTTTATCAAAATGTGCTTTTTGATTAATAAAGACAGAAATTGCCGTTTTCTCAATAAAACAATTATCACATTCAAACACGCTATAATACCAATCATATTCTATCAAATTCTAAGTGACATTTCATAACGAACGTTTCTCGTAATACAAAATACAGTGAGGGAAAAAAGTATTTGATCCCCTGCTGATTTTGTACGTTTGCCCAATGACAAAGAAATGATATGTCTATAATTTTAATGGTAGGTTTATTTTAACAGTGAGAGACAGAATAACAACAAAATCCAGAAAAACGCATGTCAAACATGTTATTAATTGATTTGCATTTTAATTAGGGAAATAAGTATTTGAACCCTCTGCAAAACATGACTTAGTACTTGGTGGCAAAACCCTTGTTGGCAATCACAGAGGTCAGACGTTTCTTGTAGTTGACATAAGCAACTTATCTGTAGAGTATTTACGTGTTTCCTTGACTTAAGCTCAGTGCCCAAAGATCTGTTACCTGTGTAGTAGGCGACTTCCAAGACACGCCATGTAGAGGGCTCCTTATTTATATCTCACACTTACACGCACAGTCACTGAGTGACACATATATACGGGGCTATGAATAGCTGACCCATCCACACAGCACCATCGTGGGCGTCTAACTATATAGCTGACTGACTAATATTGCGATGACGACGATGGGAGCCGTACAGCGGATCGGCCATGTGGTCGGATGATGAAGAAGAGATGACTGCAAAGACAGCAGCCAGGACCCGGACCGCACGACAGCCCCGAACCTCCAGCCACGACTCCCCTATATACTCCTCGGCATGGCCAGTCCCCGCCTCCGGCCACGCCCCGGCTACACCCCCTTCTAAAACCTTCGAGCCGGTTCCCGGAGCTTCCAGACTGACCAAACCTTTAACCTTTAGCCCACTTATGCCCCGTTTATAGTTGGTTATTATATAACGCACCCATGCCCGTGATTATCCCTCCTGGCCAGCAGATGGCACCCTGTCATTACACCTGTACAAAAAATTTCGAATAATAGGTTACATGAGGATATGTTTAATTATGTAATCAGGGATGAGATATATTTATATAACCTAAACAGTGTGTCCAGTGTGTTGTATGGCTTGTTGTTTTGGCCACAGTTGGTCTTCTCAGGATACATGACTCAGATCCACAATCGTCACTGAGTCACTATGATTCAGCACCCACAACCCAGGATATAAAGGCTGAGTGAAGGTTTGGTAAAACGAGTGTAACAGTGTCATGGAGTCGGCGCTGTAAAACGACAGGAGCCCCATATCCCAGTCTAGATGAACCCCAACTCTCCGCGGAGGCTCTGGCACAGATAGTGATGTCTCTACCCCACCATGCCACACTGAGCAGCTATTGTTCTGTTTTGCTAGACTCCAGGAGAACTCATTCGCACCCAGCAGGCACTCAGAACTAGTCTGTTTCTGTGGGAACGTCCCATACGTGACCCCAATCCGACATTTCCCCGCGCCTCTCACGTCCACCTCCCAGTAGTGCTGACCTGACAAGAAGCCTTCAGTACACAGGGCTGGTAACTTCCGAGAAAATATCTGTTGTTGAGGGAGATGACCCACATAAATGCAGATCTGTGTTACTGTCTTGAGATCCGAAGAAATCTGGAAATCCTTATTGGCAGAGTTTGGGTTCAGAGTTGGTGAGCATCCATCTGTGGTATCGAGAATAATATTTGCAAAATAGTCACAAAAACGCATGCATAATAGCAACACAAGTGGTAAAAGTATAAAAATAAACATTTTCAAAAAAATCAGGAAAAATGTGATAAGAACATGATATGTAATGAAAGCAGACATCTGATATGTATAACAATATATGTTCAACACATAGGCTTTCGCGACCAATATCATCCATAAGAGGGTTTTTTTGGGTTAGATCGCGTAAATATATACGTCATTAAAACCCGCCACCAACCGACACAGCCAACTAGTAAGGGTTGTCACGTTAAAGGAACATGCCAATTTGTCACTGTTATAGCACACCGGTGTGTTGGAGTGCCAAGCCACAACATTTACAATCCGAGTACGACGTTTCACCAGTAATTGCAACTAGCTTCATCAGGCAACAGCCACATTTGTACATACAAATTGGCACAATAGGTAACGAAACAAATACAGCCCTACATCGGTAGGACCTCTTCGTTCATTAAAAACTCTGAACATCTCGTAAATATAATTAAATATATTAAGCTTAATCCTAATGATATTTTTGTAAGTGTTGATGAGACTTCTCTGTTCACGAGGGTTCTGGTCAATGAGTCAATTAAAGTACTCTATATTCTGGTAACGAACAAAGGTTTAGACAAAGATATCCCAAGACTAGCTGAACACTGTCCAAAGAACACCTGTTTCTTGTGGAAAGGTGACTTCTATAAACAAAAAGAAGGGGCAGCAATGGGCTCTAATTTGTCTTCTGTGATAGCGAATGTGTACATAGAAGATTTTGAAACAAACGCAATAGCTTCAAGCACAATAAAAACCTCTGCTTGGTTTATATATGTGGATGACACATTGGTGGTTTGGCCACATGGCAAGATACACTTAACACATTTCTAAATCATTTTAACTCCCAAAACCCATCCATCCAGTTCACCATGGAAGTGGAAGCTGACAAACTCTACTATTTTTGGATATTCTGCTCGGATGGGGTTGAAATGATAAAATAACACAGCGTTTACCGAAATAAAACGCGTACTGATGCCTATTTGAATGCAGGGTTACACTATCATCCCGCACAGAAATCTCCTCTTATCAAGACGCTAAGAAAGTCTCAGATGTGACAGTCTCAGAAGTGAAATTCAACATGTTAAAGCACTGAAAATGAACGGTTACAATGATGCACAAATCAACAGGGAATTTTATACTCTTTGGTTCTATTCGGTAAAGTCACGTAGGTAAAAAATAAAACAACAAAATTCACGACGTTTCGGCCACAACACAAGTGGCCTTCATCAGGTGAAGGGACCAGACTGTCTCGAGGACAGAGCTGGAGTGAACACCGCCAAGCTCAGACCGCGACCTTTAAGCTGTGTGAGAGGAATTAAGGTGCCTTGACAAAGGAATTAGCATAAAAATTCGCATTTAATTGGCTGACTTAGCATGATGAACGGTGTAGAGGAGGTGAACATGTGCAGGTCGGCGAGGGGGAGAGGAGGAGTTTACATATTGATGATGTGAAAAGGAAATTTTAGGAAGCTGCGAAAGTTTGGGGTACCACTACTTGAAAAAATATACTGTACCATTGAAAATTAGTTTAATGTTTGGTTCGATTTAGAACATCTTTCCAATGGTTGCTTAATTTGAAACCATCTTCTCGGTTGAAATTGTGTCTGTGTTTGTAAATCTGAATTGCCTCGTGAACAAATCTCTGATAAAAACCAGTGGGTTTGCAAAGAACCTTGGTATCGGAGAAAATTATATCGTGATTACCCACAGCATTGTAACAGTGATCAGCCACGGCAGAAGAATTCGTTCTGCCGTGTTTCAAATCTGATTTGTGCTCGCGAATTCGGTCAGAGACACGCGAGCACAAATCAGATTTGAAACACGGCAAACACGGCAGAACGAATTCTTCTGCCGTGGCTGATCACTGTTACAATGCTATGGGTGATCACGATATAATTTTCTCCGAAACCAAGGTTCTTTGCAAACCCACGGGTTTTTATCAGAGATTTGTTCACGAGGCAATGCAGATTAACAAACACAGACACAATTTCAACCGAGAAGATGGTTTCAAATTAAGCAACCATTGGAAAGATGTTCTAAATCGAACCAAACATTAAACTAATTTTCAATGGTACAGTATATTTTTTCAAGTAGTGGTACCCCAAACTTTCGCAGCTTCTTAAAATTCCTTTTTCACACCATCAATATGTAAACTCCCCCTCCCCCCCTCGCCGACCTGCACATGTTCACCCCCTCTACAGCGTTCATCATGCTAAGTCCGCCAATTAAATGCTATTTTTTATGCTAATTCCTTTGTCAAGGCACCTTAATTCCTCTCACACAGCTTAAAGGTCGCGGTCTGAGCTTGGCTGTGTTCACTCCAGCTCTGTCCTCGAGACAGTCTGGTCCCTTCACCTGATGAAGGCCACTTGTGTTGTGGCCGAAACGTCGTAATTTTTGTTGTTTTATTTTTTACCTACGTGACTTTACCGAATAGAACCAAAGAGTATGGATCCTTGCAGTCACGAAAGCTTCAAATCTAGAAGTGAATTTTATGCCAAACACGAGCATTGAAACTGCCCAAGTAATTAAAACGATCAAAATACCATACTTTGCAGGAGTAACTGATAAACTAGTCAGATGTTTGGAAAAACTAAATATCCGAGTTAGATTTGGCACGGTACATAAAATACAGAAGTTAATATCTGAACAAAAAATGCATTACCGACGCTATCAACATAAGGTGTGTACAGGATTAACTGCACGTGTGGCAAATGTTATGTTGGGCAAACAGGACGAATGATCAGCACAAGACTAAAAGAAGATCAGAGAAATATTAAACTCCCAAATACAACTATCAGCAGTAGCAGAACACACGTGCCAACAAGGACACTCAATTGATTTTGATAATGTTGAAGTTCTGTGCAAAACTACCCACTACTGGCCAAGACTAATTAGTTAATCTATCGAAATAGAAGGAAATAAAAGCAAATGCAACTGTTCGGTTAGCTATCACCTTAGTGCTGCGGGGAAGTGAATCATTAAATAATATATCGTTTAAATGCATGCCTATGAAGGGCACCATACTTCAATAGGGATTACCGTTGGTACGGCTATTTTAATACACATGTAATGCGTGACTGACGAGGCACACACTGAGATAGGAGGCACCACACTTTATTCCAGTCCCTAACCAGTAACAAGGCTACACTAACCCCAACAAGGGCTACACTAGACCCCAACGAGAGAGAGAGAGAGGATTCCTCATACCCTGAGCCCCTAACACCGTCGGCTCCCGCTTCCCCCGGCGTGACCACACACCGCCAGTCCTCCACACACACGGTCCGAAGGCCCTGCCTCCTCTTCCGCTCCCCGAGCGTGGCCCCACCCCGCCTCCTGCCACGTCACTTCCCCTGGCCAAATCTCCCCTGGCCTGTCTTCAAGCAGTTGAGGGTTGACCAAGTGTGTTGTAGGTTGAACCCTGGGACTTCACTACTTGGGTCAGTTACTAGGTTACAATTGGTGATGTTTGCAGTCAACCAGGAGTTATGGCATCGAGCAGTAGGGCTGTACTCCAGTAGGGGCTGCGGGATTTCAAACACGTTCGGGGTTTGCATTTTTTAGAGGGAGGGCTTCATTGGCCGACAGCTAGTGGTGTTCTTTTAGGAGAATGCTTTCCCTGTGTAGAGGAGTATTGCGAGTAACCAATGAGGGAGCGAACAGAAGGAGGTGCGAGCGGGTTGACAGTCAAGAATGACGTAACGTCACGGGGTACGTAAAGGGCTTTCAGAGAGCACTTTCGGGAACATGGGCGGGGCCGAGCCAGGGGAAGGAGCCACCTGGGGGGTTCTTAAGGGGGATCCCGTGACGTCGTGGGGAGCCAGGGTAAGGACCTGCCGGAGTGAGTTTCTCTTTCCTCAACGCAGAGCAGTGTTGGCTGAACTCCCACTCCGGACAGACGAGTGAGAGAGCCAAAGGGATAGCCAAGGATAAGGTCCAATAGTATTCAGTGTCCGGATGAAGGACCGAGATAGAGTGCACCTACACTGGGGTCAGTGTCGGATGTCAAGTGTGAGAGTGTTTTAATATTTTAATAAATGGCAACAGCCTTTATAGTATGCCTCCTGGTTGCACTGCACTACACCTGCAGTGGCTTCCTGTTCTGAGTGGCTTCTTGTACTGGGCTAGTACAGGAAGCCACTCAAGCGGTGTTGGTCTCAGTGCTTCAGAGATGGTCCTCATGGCTGCCTGGAGGTGGCCATCTATCAGGTTTGTGTGACAACTCCTGAACTAGGTTGAGCAGTTTTACCCCGCTGTTCGGTATACCAGGGTGAGTGAAGCAGTGTGTGGAATGCTGGCTCTGCTGCCCCAGATGGTGCCTGCCAATTTTTACACGAGGTTGACCCTTGTCTTGACCTTGGATCCGGTATTATGGATATGCTGCCGGTAGGTCAATGTACAGTCAAGAGTGATGTCAAAGTATGTTTGGTGTTCGATCATTAGTGGGTTGCCACAGAACTGGACAGTAAGTTATTTCCACGCCTTCAAGTTGTTCGGGTGGAAGGCTGAAGCGACAATCTTATCAGCGTTTGGTCAGAGCCTCCATTCTCTGAAGTAGACTTCCAGAGAACATATATCACCAGTGATTATTTTCTAAATGCTCCGGAGTTCCTTAACCTGGCAAGCCAGGGCCATGTCCTTGGTATATAGCCATGACTTTGAGGGGAGGGAGGTAACTGGTGAATATTTATATGAACGAATTTGTGTTTAGTTTGTCCAGCAAACTCTGATTAGCGAGGTTGGCTATGTACAGTGCTAAAGGTCAACACACATACATGTTGAAGAGGGCTGGTACGACAACTGATCCCTGTGGGGGCCCATTTTTTATTGTGCATGGGCGGCTGATTTGACCTTCATGGTACACATGGAGCTGTTGGTTGCCGATCATGCAGTTGATTAGTTGCAGGGTTTTTAAGCAATGGATGGTTTTGGAAACTTTCAGCAGCATGCCTGTGCTCCACTCTGTCATTGGCACAGGAGAGGTCCACAAAGGCGGCTCCTGTCTTTAGGCCTTCCTGGAATCTGGTCTCATTGTGAGAGGTCAGTGTCAGGACCTGCTCAGAGTAGTTGCGGCGTGCGTGGAAATATGCTTGTTGAGGGGGCATCACTGCTTCTAGGGTAAGGGTAGGGCTCAGTATGTTTAGCAAGAGGCATTCCACGACCTTATATGTTGTTGGGCAGAGCGATGGGGCGGTAGCTACATGGGTTGTCAGGTGGTTTCCCTGGCTTAACGATGGCCACTATCTTGAATTGGCACCAGATGTTTGCAGTGGTGCCTGTGCTGTGTATGTTAGAAACAGCTTTGCTAACCACTTCCTTCTGTGCGGTCCGATGTTTTTCAAGAATTCTGGATAAATCCCATTGGCTTCTGGAGCTTTATCTGACTTGTTTGCTATCAGGGCACGGTCCACTTCCTATTCTGTGTAAGGGGTTCATAAGTCTGTCTGCTCTGGGGCAGTCTTATGAGATTGCATCAGGGCTGTTCTTACTGTCCGCTTGTCTTCCCTGCTGTGTTTTCGATTTTTTTTCTAGGAGTTGTGAGGTAATGGCATCAGCGGTGACTCTCTGGGCTGCTGGTGTGGTTGTTGGTCAGCTGACCTCAGGAGTCCCGAAGCCCTTCAGCTTGATGCGTGAAGTCAATGTTCTCCACTGTTTCTTGGTATCTTGTGAGGCGTCCTTCATCAAAAGGCGTGCTATATCAAAAGGCGTCGAGTAGGTCTTTTGACACTTCAGGGCCTTTATTTTCCCTGTATTCTTTTAAAAGCAAGTCAGTTTCTGAAGTCCAGCAAGGGATGGAGGTTTTTCTCAAGCCCCAGATTACAAACTTGGTGGCTGCCAGTTTCAGAAGTTGGTTGAAACGGTTGTAGTTTTTGGGGAGGGTTAGGATCTGGTTCATGATGGTTTATATGTATCTGATGTAGGCATTCAAGTTGCCCTTCCGCAGGTTCCAGTATGGTTTTGAGTTTATTGATTGTAATTTGAGGTCTATGTGAATGAGAATCGGGTGATGTTGGGAGTGGGGAAATATTGACAGCACTTGTCCAGAGCACATCAAACAATTTAGTAATTTTTTTAGGGATAAAAGGACAGAAGAAAAAAACTATAGACTCTATAGATATTTATTGAAGAGAAGTGTGCTTGAAGAGGAAAATTCCTAGATACATATTTTGTGTGGGCAAGATACAGCAGTGGGACGTCTCTCACCCTGCCAGAAGTTCAGTGCCAGCTTACCTGTGGTTCGAGTTCAACAAATCATCTAGGCTGGAGACTGGAGAAACGTCTTTCACTCTGACAGCAAATGAGCAGTTTTTACATTAAATGTTCGGTGTTTTTAGCTTGTGTTTATTTTGTATTTGTAATTTAAGGATTCTGAAGAGTGAGTTTTACCTTGTTCGTGGGTGTGGGGTTTTATTCGGGCATGGTTGGCTAAGTTACCCGGGCCAGGTGAATGGACAGACCAGAATTGTTTGAGGGGAGAGAGATGGTCGAAATGAAGCAACCCTCACAGGCCTCCCCTCCAAAGATGGCAAGTGCCTGTGCACTCTCACCTCTCCTCAGATACACGACACAAGCCTGCCTCGTGGTGGTGATCTTGTGTTTGTCGTGAATGGGACTACAGCTATCAGTGAACCAGAGAGACCTACACTGAAAAGCCAGGAGATTCGTTTGGACGCCTCCCACTGATATGACCTTTGCGAAATCCAGGCGGGTGGAGACGGGGGCTGGGTCATCCTGAGTCCTCTCAGAGGCAGAGCTCCTCCTGCACTCACAGCACGAGACACACAGTCTAATGATGGTCCATGTCTCTCTACAACAAGCACCGTTCACCACTAAGTGATGGTGACGTCACCACAGCGCTTGTGCCATGCTAAGTGCACTTTTATACCACGTGACGTATCGAAGGCCCACTGGCAGGAGATCATAGCACAAACCCAGGTACCATGGGTTGAATGACTGAGATGACTGGTAGATGCACCAACTGTGCTCCCCACTGTGCCAACTCTGCGTTTTAGCTGCCCAGCACTCTGTTGCTGGAGGGCGACTGCCTTCGACTCCCCAGCAGCGTCATTCACGAACCTCCAGAGTTTGATCGTGTCACTGCTAGTACCAGTCATTCGCAAGTCCACTAAACTTCACATCCTTCTGTACCAAGAGTTAATCTCTTCTCGAGCCCGTGTTGTCCCCATTTAGCCCCATCTATCCAGCCGAACAGAAGCTGCCTAGGCATGCGGTGGCTGAGCATGTTGGCAACATGACCCAGCCAACGCAGCCTCACTTGCACACAGAACGAGACAGTCTAATAAGCGTCCATGTGCTTCTACACACACAGCATGGGACACATAGAGTCGATTCTATAAGTTGCATACGATGATGTTTAGTAACAAACCACGATAATTCACTGATTTGTACAATATAATGCTGACCAGTAATAAAGTTTGAGTCTGGACTGGTACTCACCTGAGCTGCTTATGGATAGGATCCTGAAAAAAAAAACAATTTAAGTTAAAATTTACTTCGAAACCAAACGACCTACCTCCACACATTTATCTGCTGAATTCAGTGTACAAATTAATCAGCATCAACTTCACAAATACCTACAGACATAGAATGGAGAAACAAATAGCGAGACATGGGCAGATAACTAGAGATGTTAAAACCACTCTCTCCTTTTCTGCTATGTGCTATTATTTACACTCTATAATTATAGAAGGTTATTGTGAATGTCACGCTAAAGTAAAAGCGTGTGTTCCTCTGGAGACTTCAGTTTTTCCCTACATTGAAAAACATTTTAGTGAAAAGGTCTTTCATTAAACTCAAGACATGTTGATACTTGCCTGACTTTAGATGAAGCACGAATCAAGGCTGTGAGTGAATGGAGGTGTGGTCACCTGCAGGAAGGAAAGCGGGTCCTGCACGGTGAGGGCGGCGAGCAGTTGGTTGATCTCCTGCTCCAGGCCACGTGCTCTGCTCTCGTAGCGAGCGATGTCCGCCTGGATGCGGGACAGCGTGGAGCGGCCCTCCTCTTCCACGCGCTCCAGCGCCTCCCTCTCCTCCTCCCTCAGCTGCTCCCTCCGGCGCTCAAACTCTTGGCTGATCCGCTCCTTGGCCCCACGCAGAGACTCCTATGCAGAGATACAATGACACGCTATAGAATCACTCATCATTTAACAGTGCAAAGTGACATCATATGGCTTCTCAACACAGCTATATCTTAATCCTTTGTATAATGAGACATGAGCCTTAACATTGAGATCATGGTGAAAATAATACGCATCAATGATAATAACGGTGTGACGCTTTTTGACTCTCGTCTACTTCCAGGTTCACCTATATTGTCGCCACTATTATATATTTGGTCAACCAAGTCACGCTCGTGTATAGTGTGGGTGAAGTCGAATGAGAGTGAAGGATATCAAAACTGAGGAGATTTCAGAGGGTTGGTTTGTGGTGGGGGGTGGGGTGGTGGGGGGTCCCTATTGATTGGAAGACACCGCACTAATGGTGATTGAAACCTTGTTGCAGGTGTCTCTAATCCTCATAGGCTGGTTTTCCCAATTACAGGTGGACCCCACCCTCCATTGTATTCTGCCTTTACACTTATTAGTGCCAAGTGACAAACGGAATACACTTGAATACAATTCACAGGCAAATGATACGAGGGAGTTGTGAAGCTGCCGTCTCTCTCTGTACCTGCACGCGCCGATAGTCGTCCCTGAGCGACTGAGTCTGTGACGCTGCCATCTTCTTGTTCTCCTCTCTCCTCGTCTTCTCGATTCTGAGTTCCTCCTGCGTGGGGAAGAGGAACAAACGTGCTCAGTACTCGCATCATCAGGGTCATCATCATCAGCAGCAGCCATTGCCTCTCCACTGTTCGATAGACAAACACATTACATTTGTTGTTAACACATATAGTAGACAGAATGATACAATGTCTTATTTACAGCTTTACCGTCAGCGACACACACACCAAAGCATTAATTTCATCAAGAGCTTTACAACTATTACACTGTAAAGTACTCCATCTTATTAAGTCCAAGTAAGTAATTACATAGATAAGGATACTATATAATTATATAACTACAAATATTGTAAGCATATTTTTGTTAAAAGATATTTTTCTACAACACATCAGCCTTGGTTCAAGTGAGCTTAACTCTGCTGATGAGACACTATGTATGTGTAGTGATGCAGTTCAGAGACATAAACACTTGGAGGCACCTTCCTTTATTCTCGAACACAATGGGGACTACACAAACCCTACGTGGGTGCACACTATTATACAGATATTATATACACGACCATCTATTGTCGGCGGCACTAGCTAGAACAGTTGGCAGGCTGTCTAACTAGCGGCGCCCTGTGATTGTGAAGACGGCGGCGACGATGGTTGTGTAGTGAGTCCAACTGAGTCGCAGACGTTATCTTGCGAGCAACACTATTTATTCAATAAATCAACATAACATAACAACCTACACTTGGGTGGTGAATGGTCATCTAGCCACGCTACGGCAGAACTATATACGGTTAGCTATCCCAGTCCGGACCACAAGCTGGGTCCCATACCGCGTGGCTAGAGGATCCTTTTATCCGACATAGATGTTAATCACCAGCAACACGAAGAACCCCGAGCCCCTCACGGGGCCCCCGTTATATCAGCCTGGGCAGGGGCTGGCTCCGCATCTCGCCCTGCCCACCTTCTCGATCTCTCGAGCTCTTTCCCGAAGGCTCCTCGAGAGCTATTTTAGACCACGTGACTGCCCAGTGGCCCCCGACCACCGGTGGCCCCCTCCAATATCATCCGGTCACTTGTCAGCAGGTCAACCAGCATATCATGCCCCAACGTAACCCTGGCTGGCTGACACTCCCTCTCGCTCCCTCACCCGAAGCCCGTGCCGCACACTGTACGCGGTGACTCCGCGCTGATCAGCGCTCACCCAAGTCCCGCTAGGGCTGGTACTACGCCCAGTAAGTGGGCTACACATAATGCCAACACATTATCCGCCATGGCTTCGTAAGCCCGGCACCACACAGTGACAATCACGGTCACTACAGTCGCAAACAGCAGCACGGGCAGGGGATCCACTTCCAGCAACAGCCCCGAGCTCTCACTCAGGGCTAGCTCTTATGCTCCTGGCGTGGCCTTGCTCTGCCCTGGCCACACCCTCCTTCTGGAATTAACTAGCAGGTCCCCGGGGCTTCCAGATGGACCCATTCATAAACTCTCTCTTAGTTGTCTTTCCCCCCATATATACTGTCGCCTGCTGACGTGTGTACTGCCATACACTCCAGGTACCACTTTTTGTCAGCAGCCAGCGCTTTTACTCTTCATATGTATGTGAAACGTCGTGGGGTTTTTGCTTTTGTTATTTTAAATGTATTGTTTTATTTAATTATTTTAATTGTATCTTGTTACTTATATTTTATTTTTATTTTTTTATTTTCTATTTACGTGACTTTACAAAAAGAACCAAGAATATGTTAAATTTATTTTCCACAGATATCAAGCCTGGTCCAGAGTGTTATTCATTTTTTTCCCTACAATTATTTTCCCAGTGAAATGAAACAAGTTTAAAGTCAAGTCTATGAAGATTGAAATTTCAACAATGTTTTACATTTAAATGTGTGTTGATTCTTAAAAATGCAATGATAAAGAATGTGGTTTTAATCAAAGGTTTAAATTATGCAACGTTGCTTCAAGAGCTGCAGTATATGACTGGCTTTGTTACATTTGATATAAGAAGATATTGCAAAATTAAATGTTGAAAATTGTATTATTAAAACACACCTGGCTGGAAATGTGTCAATGATGTTAAATTAAACTTACGTATACTTGTACAGTTTAATTAAATATATATATTGTAAAACATGGCTTACCGTGGTTTTAACATTTCTGCAAGAGAGATATTTGCTTTATCAGCTATCCTGAACAATATCAACTATTTATCTTGGAATCTCTTAAATTGCACCTCATATTTGCAGACCTGGTTCTGTTAAATGCCACCAAATTAGAATAACTCTACCTGCGTAACTGGTAGCATCTCACCACGGCCTAACACATTATTACTCTTCTCATCACTTGCGCTCTTATCAATCTGTCTAACCACCAGGACATTGCGGGTGTTACTCTAGATTCAACCTTCTCACTGAATAATCGCGTCCTAAACACAGTCGAGGTGTGATATTATAACCTTATGGCTTCATGGCAGTTCCCACCGATGCTGCCAGCTGCCAGATTCGGCACAATTCTTTTAGACGGCTGCTCGAACTCATCTTGAACAAAAGGGTGGTTTGCACACCACCAAGAGTGGTTAGATGTCAAAATATCATACCATATGTAGTGGAGTAAACGATACGCATAGGAATTGGCCACATACAGTACATACAGACATACAAGGAGAGTGGGTCACATGAGGTCGAACAGGTGGTCGAGTCACGGGTGGCGTAAACAACCCGAAGTAATTAAAGGAGTCGTGGCACGAGGGCTGTGATTGGTCGAGAGGCTGTTAGCGTTAAGTGGCGGCGTCTCGAAGTCTGACCATTGGACAGGTACGAGCTGGCGGGAAAATGCCAGCGAGCCACGTGGCAATTAATCAAGGCTAATTGGAAAGGGGATAAAACGATAGGTGATTTGAACGGGAAGTTGGAGTTGTTGTTGGCGAGAGGTGGAGAGATACGAAGAGGACAGCTGGCAATGTTAGGGAAGAATAGATTGAGAGCCGAACCCAAAGGACAGTAAATAGCGATAGGGAGAGTTAGCGTTAGCGGAGAGGTAGTTACGGAGGAGATAGGTACAGGGAGAGTTACAGATAGAGTCACTGTGTGTGCGGAGATAGATAGAGTCACTGTGCATGAATAGACAGGCAAGTCACTGTGTGTGCAGAGATAGAGTCACTGTGTGTGAATAGACAGATAGATCACTGTGTGTGCGGAGATAGAGGAAGTCACTGTGTGTGAAGAGATAGCGGAGACACTGTGTGTGAGGAGATGGAGGAAGAACCACTGTGTGTGGAAGAGGATGCGCGGACGGTGCTGAGGTGAATTGGAGTGTCGGAGTTGGCGGAGCGCGAAGAGAATTACTGTGTGTACGGAACGATGGAATAAAAGTGACGGTGGAAGAAGACGGTTGTCGTCCGAGTGAATTCACGGCACTACACCTGTATAAAAGGTTGTGTTTCCCACGAATTTTACTTCTGGAGTTAAGGCGGGTGAAACAGATCACAGGGAATAAACGGGACAGCTAAAGTTGATACTCGTTATGTACAAAGCACTGACATTGGAAGGTGAGGCTCACTTTTATTTTTTACACTTAATAACTATGGCTATTATGTATTTAATATATATTGTAAATGATATGTAAATGTGTCTGTGTGTTGCAGAGGCCAGTGATGATGCGACCCCATCTCTGTGCTCCGGTTTCTGAGCGTCTCCACTCACCTTCCGTGCCTCGTGCGCGTCCTCCACGCTGCTGAACTTGTGTCCTGTGTGCTCCCCCACGATGGCACAGCTCGTGCAGACCAGGCTCTCGTCCAGCGTGCAGTAGAACTTGAGACTTTCCTTGTGCTTCTTGCACTTGCGAGCTTCCACGCTGACACCCAGCTCCACCAGCTCATGGTCCTTGAACCTCGCGTTCTGCAGGTGACGCTGACAATGGGACTCACAGAAGAACATCTCGCACGTCACGCAGCTCCTCACAGCGGGGACTTCACCGACCAGACAGCTGTCACAGGAAACCTGCGGAGCCGCTTTCTCCCCCACGCTGAGCTCCTCGACAAGGTTGGCGAGCGCCACGTTCCTGCTCAGCTGCGGCTTCTGCTCGAACTCGGCTCGGCACTGGGGACAGAAGCAGCGCCCGGCCACCTGCCACGCGTCCTCCAGGCACCGCAGGCAGAACGAGTGGCCGCAGCTCAGCGTGGACGGGCAGTGGAACGCGCCCAGGCAGATGGAGCAGATGAGCTCCTCGGACGCAGCAGAAGCAGCAACAGCTGCGGTGGTCATGGCTCTCCTCGTCTCTCAGTGTTTGTTTCAGCGAGTGTCTCAGTGAGTGTATCAGAAAGTGTCTCAGACAGTGTGTGAAGAGCACAATGTTGTACAATTCATGCAGGAAGAAAAACGTGAAACCTCACAGCGCAGTCACGAACGAGAATAGGGTGACGCGCCCCATTCCAGGAAGAGCAGCGTCACCAATTGAATCCACCCCACACTCAAGCAGGCAGCGAAGTCTGCGTGAGTTTGACTTGCAGTTAAATTTGTTTGAAGAGGCGAGAACTCAAGAGACTAGGAGAGAGGAGTCTCATTGACAGGAGTGACCTGGGTCACCAACAAGATAAAAGCAAAAAGTACATCAATGAAGCACTCTGAAACAATCAGAGTGCACTCTGACCACAGTGCTTCAATGTTAGTTGTATACCAATTTTCCAACCGCCACCTGGAAATTTGAGCATCCACGGGTGAACACGGTGTTAACGAAGTCACATGATGTGGGTATTATTATTGCATCACAACATGACACCATTGTATTGCGCGACGTCATTGTCTACTGTCGTTTTCTGAATAATTAAACACATGGGTCTCCTCAGGGCCACAGCGACATCTGTGGCCCTGAGTCGCTTATCAGCTGTTTTTTATGTTTAGTTGTACTGTTCTGCAATTCTCACAGAGCATAGGCCACTTAGAATTACAGCCACATTAATTTTGCCTTTAATCATGAACCCGAAGCGTAAAGTGAGTGGTGAAGGTTAGAGCGTTGCATCTGTGGCTCAGAGGAAGAAGGGGAGGGTGGTCTGAGGCCCTCCTCTTAACCAGCCTTTTCCCTATCACCTCATCGTCATCATCATCATTGTTAATATAACAGTTATATAAAGTTAATGCAATGCTTATTTATGTTTTACGATGTTATTGTGTAATGTACTGTATTGCATTGTATTCGGCATTTAGGTAATAAGCAGGCAACTTAGTTAAGCTATGATGACGAGTCTGATCGAGGCCGTGGTTCCTCTCACCACCTATTTCCCATAGGCCCTGTACTTTACCAACTGCGGATTTGCCTACCACGGCATTTTCCAGGAACTTAACCTCCACAGTTGGTGAGGGATGGCTGTAAATGTGTGTCGGTCTAAACACTTAATGGCGTACAGTACTTAGATGTCAAGGCAGCCAGCACAGTAAGCGGTGGAGCATAGATATACAACACAGATGCGTATTTACTCAGATTTGATTATTACATCACGTTAATTTTAGATCACATGTTTAGCAAAGAAAAAAATACCTCTGTTTTATGACCAATCATTTAAACAAATCTCAATATTTGAGAATTTTCATGGCGATTTAATAAGATAATCCCAATGTTCAATTTCGTGTATTTAAATGTATGTACAACTGCACTGCATTCTCAATCTAGTCACCTGAGTTCGATTCATGGCTCTGGCTAACATCGGTGGCCAGTGACATCTGAATTGGTCCTGGGCCCTCCTTTGAAGTGTGGTCAAAAAAGCCCCACGACTGTCGCTCGGTGGCAAAGGTTTCACCTGCCAGTGCATTGCCAGAGGGGTGTCATTCATTATTGTTCATTATCACTTTCATTAAAAACAGAGAGCTGTTGTTGGTTGGGATTACAAGGACCCGTCTCAATAAAACCAGACATGATTCTTTAAATGTTAGGCAATCTGAATGTCTACTAAGTTTCCAGGCAGTTGAAATTATACATTCAGGCAGTTTATTACGTGTTGTGTGCCATGCACTGACGCTGGGGTGTGAACAGGTTGCACTTTAGATGTTACAAAATTGTTGATATCGCCCACAAGGCACTATATCATGGAACACGTTGAGCCTATGTTCTGCCTCACGGCAAGTGTCTTGCCTCACGGCAGATGTGGGGCGTGTGTACACAGGAATTTCCTGTTTTTGAAATAGGGGGTGGTCACGTGACCAGGAAGTTGCGATTTTAGATTTCCGCTGAACCACGCGGGCGTCGGCCATTAAAAACATAATTCAAGATGGCGGCACACATCGCAGCTCCGTGAAGACAGCTGCAGCCACCGTTGTGGGACTTTGGGAAGCATTGTCTGTAAGTTCGTTTGTGTTCTTATGATACTGGCAATGTTGCTATAATATGAGAAGGACCTTTATAATGCTGTTATAACGCTAGAACCTTTATAATGCTGTTATAACGCTAGAACCTTTAGAATGCTGTTAAATTGTTACGATGTATGTGGGGACTAGTGGATAATAAAGCCTGCAGCTTGCCTTGTTGTGATTTACCCGTAATCGAGTAAGTAGATTCAAACTTGAAATAACAAAATGGCTCATTCAAAAGACAACGTTATGATGCTGTGGTGTTTATTCATTGTGTTGGTTTTTCTGGGTATTAACAGATGCTGTATCTGTGCAGTTTTCTTACCAGTTTTACCTCTCTCTACCGTTCAATTTCAATAAATGACGTTCGGAGGCAGATGTTCACCCTGGCTCTGAGGGTTTATTGGAAACGCGAGGTTATCTACTCAGCTAGCTCTGCTACGCAACGCAGAGCGAGGCCGAGATAGTAAAAATACATTCTTCTTGAAGCAGTCATCCTGCAGCAAGCAAAAGAGCTCTCAAGCAGTCAGCCTGCAGCAAGAAAGGAGCTCTCAAGCAGTCAGCCTGCAGCAAGCAAAAGAGCTCTCAAGCAGTCAGCCTGCAGCAAGCACGGAGCTCTGCAACGAGTCTACATTAAAAATTGTGTTGCAAGCATCTCAGCATGGAAAGCCACAGTTCAGCAGGGAGAGATGCTGAAGAAGGTGATTTAGGCAATCCAGGACCTCCCATCCAGCCACAAGAGGACCAAGGAAGTTCAAGGCCCCAAAGAGAGGTCAGGCTGACAACGGGCCTTGGAAAGCTATGATGCTGAGAAGCAAGACCTTGATGCCAGGATACAAAGGGCATGGGACTGGGTTGAAGCTGATATATCTGAAGCTGCAAATGCCTCAAACACAGTGGCCTCAATTCAGCGGGCCATCCAGCGAGTGAAGGTGAGCAGCTCAAGCTACAAGCTCCTGGCAAATAAATACATCTCCCTCCTGATGAAGATGAAAACAGATGAGGGCCTTGAGGGAGTGCGCACGCAAGAGAACTTCCTCGAACTGCTCGATGATAATGTACAGGCAGTGATACAAGATGCAATAGACCGTGTGGAGGGCTTAAGAGAGACCCGATCTCAGCACTCTGTCTCATCCAGGTCCACCACAAGATCTAAAGGCTTAGCACACTCAAAGACATCATCTACTAGTATGGCAGCAGCTCAGGCACGCGCAGCAGCAGAAGCAGCAAATGCCCGTATTGCCTACATGGCTGAAGAGGAAGCCATGCTAATTGAAAAGGCCCGCATACAAGAAGAAGCAAGCATAGCAACTGCTGCCGCACGGAGGAAAGCAGAGCACACAGAGCAAGAAAGTATATTAGCAACTGCTGCCGCACGAGAGCAAGAGAGTATATTAGTGGCTACTGCCACACGGAAGAAAATTGAGCTGGATGCTAAGTTAAGTACCCTACAGCTCAAAAAAGAAGCAGCTGCTGCAAGGGCCCAAGCAGAGATGCTCCAAGCAGCAGACAATCTGGATAAGGAAGAGAATTGGAGTGAGTTTGGCGCTCAGATACCTGTCAAGGACCGTGATCAACTCACCAGAAAAAAATATTTTGGACTGGTCTGAACAATGCATCAATGCTCCTCCACCAAACGATACTGAACAAATGGTGGACGTTCAGGCATCGCCATCTCCACACCGAATGAACATGAATGCTGTCTACGGGAATGGTGGAAATGCATATCCTGCCCTGGCAGCTAGTCGTTGACTCAGCATCGCACATGTGGGATCAGAAATGGATGCATCACGTCAGACCCACATTCAAGACAGTCACATAAGGGGATCAAACCAACGTGATCGAAACCTTTTGGGCCCACAATCCAACACCATCGCGAATAACGGCATGCAAGGCAATGCAGCCAATAATGGCACCTCACAAGTGCCAGTATGGACACACCCTGGATCAGCAGGATTAGGGGACTTTGCTAGGTACCTGGCTCACCGCGAACTAATCAACACAGGACTCGTTAAGTTTGATGACCACTCTGAGAACTATCGAGCCTGGAGATCTACCTTCAGGAATGCAATCCGAAATGCAGACATCTCTGCAAGTGAAGAACTCGACCTGTTGGTGAAATGGTTAGGAAACGAATCTACAGAGTACGCAAAGAAGATCCGGGCAGCAAACATTGACGACCCCGCCTCAAGCCTGCATGCAGTGTGTGAGAGGCTCGAGGAGTGCTACGGTAGCCCAGAAACTATTGAGAAGGCTCTCTTCAAGAAGTTGCAGAACTTTCCAAAAATCTCTGGTAGGGACAATAAAAGGTTACGAGAGCTTGGAGATCTTTTGATGGAGCTTGAATCAGCCCAGGCTGACCCCTATTTACCAGGTCTCATTTTCTTGAATACCTACCATGGCGTGAACCCCATAGTAGAGAAATTGCCATTCGACGTGCAGGAAAAATGGAGAACAGGTTCAAGATACAAGTCAGAGCATCAGGTTGCATTCCCTCCATTCTCTTTTTTCTCAAAGTTTATCCGCAACCTGGCTAAGACCAGATATGACCCGAGTTTCATGTTTGGCACCACGGGGATTTCCAGTCCAGATCTCCCAAAAATGGAAATAGCAATGGCGAAACGAGGATCAGCGAGAGTGGCAATTTCTGTACACAAGACTGAGGTCTCTCCTACGACATTCGCAAACTCCGTCCAGACAATCACCACAAAGAAAAAGATAGAGGATCCAGAGAAGCAATGCCCATTGCATGATAAACCTCACTCCCTCCAGAAATGCCGTGAGTTCAGGAGGAAGCCATTGGAAGAGCAGAAGAACATTCTGAAAGAATTTGGAGTGTGCTTCAAATGCTGTGCTTCTACAAACCACCTTGCAAGGAATTGAAAGGCAGATATCAAGTGCGAGGAATGTGGCAGTGACAAACACGCAACTGTTCTGCACACATTTTACTACAAACCCAGTGGCACTAAGGCTTCCGATCCCGAAGCAGAGCACGGCGGGGAGCAAGGCGAGACCGCCGCACTCACTTCGTCAATCACAACCAAATGCACAGAAGTCT